GTGCGTTGACCATTTGACGACTTAAATAAAGGAATGTGAAGTTTGTTATTATTTGGAGTTATACGGTCATGAACAGAAGATCGCTTTTTAAGCTTTGAACAAAGGTACTCAGGCGCTGAGTTATTAACACATTTATATGCCATAACAGTGTCTCTAAATTTAAGCATCTCCTCTACTGTAAGCCAGTTAAGTTGTTGAAAAGAAGGTGTGACATGATCATACTTCCGTAAACCAGTGATGATCCTACATGATGATCCTACATTGAATAAGTTGCAGCTTTTTTATGTTGCCGGCAGAAGTATTTGACCAGACTGACGAACAAAACAACATTTTACTAAATACAAGAGACGATATAATGAGCATTAAAGTGTCTTTGTCAAAACTATGCTTAACCCGATTAATCTGCACTAACTTTGATAGACATGACGATACTAAGTACGAAATATGATTATCATAAGTCAGATGGGAGTCTATGATTACACTTAAGTCACTTGCAGAATCGACAGGAGTCAGAGTTTTTCCCATGAACGGTATAGAAAAGTCTATTGAATATTTACACATCAACTGTCGGGTATACCAATCAACATGAACTTCGTTTTGTCTGTCCCTCAGGAAGCCCGACAGAAGGGTAGGCTGCGRAGGAGACTAGTTGGCAATATAAAGTCTACAGAAACGAATCTATAACTTTTATCCTTGTCGACGAGTTTTTAATGCTCGTTGTTTCCTCGTTCTTTGATAAATTCTATTGTTTTCAAATACTAGAAAAACTACAAATCGGATAAGATCTTGTAAAACCGTGAAGGGCAGCACAAACTATTATGTATTTGTACATGTTCCGTCTTTYCCTCCCTTTTCAAAATTYCCGGACACATCCCTGGGTTATGTCGATGTCAAAAGCTTTATAAGAGGGCATTTAGTTGCAGCATATGTGTGCTTCAAAGGCTCCAACATCAGTCTAGTCTAATATGACCGGCCGGAGCGGTATACTATACTCATTTCATACTACMTCTACCAGAAAGAATTGCTAATTTYTTCTTCTTTCCCAGGACTGTGGCATACTTTCGTGGTTTAGATGAGGGTAGCGAAACAATTAAGAAGGTTTTCTTTGGAAATGTCATTTTTCCTTTGAGGAATGTGTTATTTCGATTGAAGTTTCAAAGTAAGGTCAAGAACCAGCTCCATGGTCACGGGATCGGCCGTCATTCTCCCGAAGAGATTTATGGGATAGCTGAGAAAGATCTGAGAGCTGTTTCTTCCATTCTTGGAGAGAAGAAGTTTTTGTTTGGWGACAAACCCTGCCTTGCTGACGTCTTTCTCTTTGCACTTGTGAGCAACTTCATCTTTCTGACTCCCGTTGCTCCGCAGGCAAAGTTGATTTTGACGCAACTGAAGAATCTTGAAGGTCAT